TGCCTCAGCCTCCTGAGTAGCTGGGTTTACAGGCATCCCCCACCACACCAGGCTAATGCCTTGAGTGACTGAAAAAAACAAAAAACAAACAAAAAAAAACCCACAAAAAACTCTTGGCCGGGCTACGTGGCTCATGCCTGTAATCACAGCACTTTGGGAGGCCGAGGCAGGTGGATCACCTGAGGTCACGAGTTCGAGACCAGCCTGACCAACACGGAGAAACTCCGTCTCTGCTAAAAATACAAAATTAGCCGGGCGTGGTGGCACATGCCTGTAATCCCAACTACTCGGAGGCTGAGGCCAGAGAATCGCTTAAACCCGGAAGGCGGAGGTTGCGGTGAGCTGAGATCGCACCACGGCACTCCAGCCTGGGCAACAAGAGCGAAACTCCGTCTCAAAAAAAACCCCCAAAAAACCAAAAACTTTTCCAGTGTAAGCACGACCGCAATATGGATGAACCACAGCCTTTGTTCCCGTCTGCACGAGGTTTCTTCACCGTCTTTGTTACTCCAGAGCCTTGCACGTGGTGGATGCTCAGCGTTTGTTGCCTGGAACGACAGGCAACAGGGCGAGGAAGCGCGGCCCGTTCGGGTTTGGAACACAGCGCCGGACGCCGAATTAGTGTTTGGCAGCGCCTGGTGGACTTCAATCCCAGTCTCTCCGGCCTGACCCGCCTCCCGGGACCAAAACACGCCTGCGAAGGCCGGCGCGGGGGAGGCGGGCGTGGGCGCGGGGCATGCCGGGCGCCCCCAGGTGGGCAGGTGCCTGGGCGGGGCGCGTCGCGGTTGGCGTCCTGGCGGCTGCCGAGCACCCGGAAGAGCCAGCAACTTAGCGAGCGCAACAGGCTGCCGCGGAGGGGCCGGAGCCGGCGGGGACTGGGCCGCAATGGACAAGCTGAAGAAGGTGCTGAGCGGGCAGGACACGGAGGACCGGAGCGGCCTGTCCGAGGTGAGTGAGCCCGGGAACTCGCCCTGCGTTCCCTGCCCGGGCCTGGGAAGCCTGCTGGGACTTCCAGGAATTTCTGGACGGCAGCTCTGCCCCTTCTCCTCTTCTCCAGCACGGCTCCGCGAGGAGCCCCGGCGCTGCACTGGTTGTTCGGCCGCGGCGTCCTTTTCTGCCCCGCGCCCCTTCCTTCTGCCCCGCGCCCCTTCTGCCCATCCTCCCCGACAGAGGGCCGGGCAGGAGGAAATCCCCGGACTGACCTGTGAGTGGGAGGGCGGGTGTCCCGGCAGTCGGTCCCAGCCCTACCAGCCGGGGAATGCGCTTTAGGGCCGGGCAGGGCTGGAGGAAGGAGCCCTTGCTGGGTGGATCGCGGCGATGGACCAGGGCTGGGGTGTTGGGGTGGCGGTCCCCACCTCGCGACGAGGTTGTTAACCGCGACCCGAGCTCCGCCTTTGTTTTCTGCCCGGTTTAGTTGTAGAGTGTGACACTCCCACCCGGCCCTGTGCACGTCTTGTGATTGTAAAACTGCCTCCACCCTATGAGGGCAGGGATCACGTCTTGTGTCTCTGTGTCCACACTGCCCACACCTAGACTCTAGACACCCAGCGCCTCAGGAGACTGCCTGCGTGTTGATTTGTTTTATTAGAAAATATATATATATATTTTTTGGAGACGGAGTCTCACTGTCGCCCAGGCTGGAGTTCAGCTGCGCGATCTCGGCTCACTGCAGCCTCCACCTCCCAGATTCAAGCGATTCTCCCACCTCAGTCTCCCAAGTAGCTGGGATTACAGCCACCTGCCACCAAGCCCGGCTAATTTTTGTATTTTTACTAGAGATGAGGGGTTCACCTTGTTGGCCAGCTGGTCTCGAACTCCTGACTTCAAGTGATTCGGCCCGCCTTGGCCTCCCAAAGTGCTGGGATCACAGGTGTGAGCCATCGCGCCCGGCCTATTAGAAAAGTTTTGATAGTGCTGAAACCTGGCCGCTAATGTCCTATGTTGTAGAACCACACAGAATGTTGCATTTCTATTTTGGATGCTTTTGTCTTTTGTTTTCCTTTTCAGATGACAAAATAACGTTTCTCTTCACTTTTTGGAGTATTCTTTAGCCTCCGTTCAACACCCTCCCTGAAATGCGGGTATTGAACAAGATGATAATGGCCTCTTTCAACTGGAAACTGGAGTTTTCCCTCTCACTTTAATCAGTGTTTCTTCTGGGTTTCTCAGCAAGCTGCTTTCATCCTCGTTTGTGGTAGCTGATTTTATTGTTTTGTTTTGTGTGATACTGGTAATTATACTTTCTGCATCACATCTCAGAATGTAAAACTTGCCCTCTGAATTAGCTGGAGGTAGTAATGCTATGCGATCAAATGTTGGAGGCACTGAAGTTTAACTTTTTGACATTTCAGAAGAAGTTGGTGGTTTCTTTTTAATTTGTCTTTATTAATTGGTCAAGGCCCAGGATTAATTTCACAGGTTCTTTTTCCTTGATTTCTAGCCTCTATTATGAATCTCAAGTGGAACCTCAGACTGGGCCTAAGAAAGATCTGACTTGTAGGTTGCTGACCCTTGCTATTTAAAGCTTTATTTCCATTGACTGTCAACAAGCCTTGATGAACAGTTGGTGCTTAAGAGGAGGTACTTTCTCTCCCTGCAGACTCTTGGGAGGTGGGGTGTTGACAGTGGGATGATGCGGATATTATTGTCTCAAAAATCATCATGAAGTAGTGGGCCCACGGCTAGTGAAGTTTGCAAACATAAATGCGGAGCTTGTTTTTAACCTAAAATGGTGAATGCCTGTGTTGGATGTTATGAGAAGGGCTTTAATGTGTTATGCCCAGGCACCTGTTGGATCTGTTTTAAAAAGAATAGGTGCTTCATTCTTGTTTTAAAATACTTTGGTCAGCTTCCTCTTTCTGAGTGAAATTTCTGTTTATAATACCATTGTATGGTACTTCCAGAGTCTTGAATTCCTGGGAAATGTTTTGTTGCTGACCGACTTCATCTTTCGGGCTTTTTTGGCTTAGTTTTTACTGATTAGGTCAGAACCTCCCTTAAAATATTGGTACTGATTTATTTGATTGTCTCACATTTTTCATGGTTTGGGGGCTGGCAAAACTGGTGGATTCTGTGAGGAAATTGCTGTTTTGTATGGTTAGTTGAATTATTTATTACTCTTAAAAATCTCTTTAAGAGGTCACTAGAAGAGAGTGCTTTTAAAAATTTTTATTCCTTTAATGCAAACCATAAAGGTATGACTAGTTCTATTTCTTCTACCTCTCCTAGGTAGTTATAAAATTTTCATGGCAGCATCTGATTATAGCCTCATGATGAATTTTCTGATTGATACCTCGTCTTCGTAAATACACCTTAAGTCTTTAGTTTCACTGGACTTTTTTTTCTGAGAGTATAGGTTTTATGTTTTTTATAAAGGATTCTAGGGACAAGAAAGGTGTGAATAGTATCTGATTTTAAAGTGTGGAAATGAAGCAGTATTCCTTTCTCACCTTCTTCTGGTCACCAGTCCTGTTTTTCTGAACAATTCTTAGTTTTACTTCTTGGCGAGAGCCCCTCTTCTCTCCACATCCCAGAGTGAAAGGGACCTTTGTGAATAACTGCCAGTCAGACTGCTAGTGAGCACATGGCCTGCAAATTCTATCCAGGTACTATTTTAGCTACTCTAATTTCCAAAATACGCTAGCACAGCTTCCAGCAGTCATGCATTTACAGACATTTTATGAGTTTGTTTTCATAATTTGGCAAAAAGAAGTGTTTTGCTTTCACTGAGTCCAATTAGAAGAAGTGGAACAACAGCTTCCTCCTTCCCTGACCAAGTGTGCTTGTAAAAGAGCTTGCAGCTACATGTAATGGAAAAGTCCAGTGGTGAAATGTGCCCCCACCCCTTCCATTTTGGCAAACAGTGACATTTGGATGGACTGAGCTTGAGAGACTTGGATGTGGAGTGTCACTTTCCTTTCTGAAGGTAGAAACCAGAAACACATTTTTGGCTGAACTGCTTCCTGTTGCCGGTGATTTTAATTTTTATGAGGGCTGGAATCTCACTGTTCTGTTGAGGTTATTTAGCAATCTAGATGTCAAAGTCAATTCAAATTTCATTCTTAACCTTATGGCTTATCGTCTTAAAGTAGAAAGGTTGAATCTTTTAAAATATCCTTGTTGATGCCATGCAGTGCTCAGGGAACCATCCAGTCCAGTCCTGCTACCGCTGTTCTTCCTGTGAACAAGCCAGTCCAATCCTACCACCGCTGTTCTTCCTCCGAGCAAGCCAGGCCCATCTAGTACCCCTCGTCTTCCTGTGAATAAGCCAGGCCAGTCCTACCGCCCTTTTCTTCCTGTGGGCAGCTTGTTCTTTTTTCACCTTGGCAGGGTAAGTTCTTTGGTTCTTGCATGAGTTCAGGAAGAGTGGTAGCTTCTCATTTTGTCTGTCCTTGGTGGGAGGCTAAATGGTTTAGTCAGAAGTGGCCTGACTAGATTGTCTGGGGACCGCGTAAAGCCTGCTAATAGAGCATCATCACATGGCTCATTTTGGTGTCCAAGGGGGTTTGGGAAACCAGACTCCTCCAGGAGAGGTTTACCTCAGTGTAGAATGAGGTGGCTGATCTGTCAGGCCGTCACACTGGCCCCTGCTGCCTGTTACCGTCCATAATTTGTGCTTTCTGTGCAGGGTCATTAGCCCAGTTCCATTATATATGAATGTATAACCTGACCTAAATACCTTTCTACTGAGTGGAGATTAAGGTAGTCTTTAGCAATACGTGCCACACCTGGGGGGAGCCTCTAGTCCTTCTTTTCAAGCTTCTGGTTTGACGGGAACTCAGGAGACAGGATTGAAAACAGATCCCTCAGATGGAGATAGGCAAGGCTGACCCAGTCGCCAGTCTAGTGACCCTTGACTCTCTGCTACGACCTCCCTTCCTCCATCAGCCAGGTGGAAACAATGGTATAGACAACTTTGACCACATTGCTAGATGGAGACTATGCTGGCCACACAAGGTGAGCGCTGTCTGAATATACATGGCCTGGCTGCCCTGTGTGGTGTTGGTCTCTCATTGGCAGCTGTGTTTGTTCAACTGTGCCCACTTGCATCAGACTAGCAGGGTTGCCCATGCAGATGGTTGGTCGTCGTTTTTTTTTGTTTTTTTTTTTTTTGAGACGGAGTTACACTCTTGTTGCCCAGACTGGAGTACAATGGCATGATTTTGGCTCACTACAACCTCCACTTCCTGGGTTCAAGCAATTCTCCTACCTCAGCCTCCCAAGTAGCTGGGATTACAGGCATGCATCACCACACCTGGCAAATTTTTTGAATTTTTAGTAGAGATAGGGTTTTACCGTGTTGGTCAGGCTGGTCTCAAACTCCTGACCTCAGGTGATGTGCCCGCCTCGGCCTCCCAAAGTGTTGGGATTGTAGGTGTGAGCCACTGCGCCCTGCTTTTGTCATTTTTGACATGAGAAAATAACTATTGGGAGCTACTCACAGGCTGTCCTGTTTCAGTAGTTTTTTTGGAACTCCTGGCTTCTCCTGAACTTTGCTCCAGGGAGGGATCAATAATGATGTCAAAGAGTCAGGATGAGCAGGAGAGTAATTAATTAACCAGGATTTGTCTCACACTTGGAGGAGCTGGCTAATGCCAGCACCCTGTAAGTACAACATCCGAGCCAAGAGTGAGTAACGAGGGTGAGAGTTGATGTAGCAGAGGATGACCAGTGGACCAGCTGCTTGACTGCCGTCCCTTCATCTTTTCCTTATTTCCTGGGACTCTGTCTGGTGGAGCTCATGCCTTTCTAGTTGTGGTCCTCACCTTGCCTGGGCTGTGGGAAGGCTTTGGGCTACGCTAGGATTGGCCGTCTTGCCTTCTTGTTTGTGAAATGGGTTGTGCTTGAGGCAGGGAGTTTCTACCTCTGAAGATGTTCAGCTGGAGACACAGCTGTCAGCTGCTGGAGAGAAGATTCCTGTCTGCATAATAGCTTTACAACTCTGATAAGGTCTGGATTCGAAGACTTACATTGCCTGAGTGTGTAGGATTCTGTGCTTCTTGCCTTCTCTAATACAACTTAACATTTTCCAGGTTTAATTATGTGCTTGCTTTGTTTTTAGTAAATGTGTGTGTATATGTAACTTTTTTTTTCTTTTACAATTTTAGGTTGTTGAGGCATCTTCATTAAGCTGGGGTACCAGGATAAAAGGCTTCATTGCGTGTTTTGCTATAGGAATTCTCTGCTCACTGCTGGTAAGATTTCTCTCCCTCCCCTGTCTTTTCCTCCCACTCGTCTTTGCTGTATATTCCCCCTTTTGCCCATCTCCTTTCCCCTTTTGCTCTTCACTAAAATGCATGGACGAGAGAAGAGGGGAAGAAGAGAGGTGGGGAAGGAAATGGACTTCTGGGGCTTCCTCTGTGAGCTCTGCTTGTGTGGCTGGGTGGGAGGGGTTGCTTATGTGCAAACATTATTGTGCTTTAAATTCCAGGGTACTTTTCTGCTGTGGGTGCCCAGGAAGGGACTACACCTCTTCGCAGTGTTTTATACCTTTGGTAACATCGCATCAATTGGGAGGTAACTGTTTTTTTAAAATCCAGTCTTAGCCAGTCATTCAATGGGAAAATGGATATTGGTTGTACTTGAGGGAGGTAAAAGAGAATGCTTCAGTAATTGTCAGGGATTTGGAGAGAAACAAGAGTAGTTAGAATATCTCACATTCATCTTGTTATTTCAAAACATTTTATATCTTAGTGTGTCTTTGAAACACCTGGGAGAAAGCAGTAAATAATAGCTGCCATTGTGATTTTACATATACAGGAACTGTGACACAGAGCAGTTGAATGATTTCTTCAGGGTTTACAACACATTCCTCCTGCTTGCTGTATTCTTACTACTGCCAGAGATTAAGCTGATGATTTTCAAAGGGCTCATCACTCCAGTGGCCATAAGGGAAACTGGTTTCTATTTAGTGTCAGACCTTCCCAGACCTGAGTAGCAGCTCATGGGAGCAGGGAATGTAAGCACTTCCTGTAGGTTGTGGATGCACAGACTTTGCAGGTGAAGCTCATTCACACTCATGCTTCAGTTGCACTGGTACCAACAACTGCACCCTCTCCCAGCTGGGAGCACTGGCCTGGCCCCTACCTGAATGACCTGCAGGAACCTGAACTTAGGCATCTGTTTTCCCCTTTTTCCCTTCCCTTGTGTCTCTGTAAATGGCTTCAGAGTCCTGGCGGTCCAAGCCTCCCCTCCGTGATTCCTCACCAGGGTTTGATGTATACCTATCTTACTGGCTTCTTCCTCTTTGTCCTCATGGCTGTTTGTGCTTCCCTGACTGAATTGCATGCTCAATGGGTAAGCACTGGTCACACTCTGTGCTGGGCTCAGAGGATACAAAGACAAGTCCGGTTTGGTCCCTGCCAGGCAGACAGACATATACTTCATGACATAAAAGGATATGGAAAGAGGTGCTCAAAGAGGGGCAGCTGACATGACCTCCGTCAGGAAGGGTTTCCTAGAGAAGGTGATATCTGAGCTGGTCTTAGCTTTGGCCTGGATCACCCCTTATCTGAACAAGATGCCTCTGCTGGGCCTCTCTGTCTCCTCCATTGCCCCTCTCCAGGCCATTTTCGACTGCATTGTGGAGCCATTCATTTATAGCCCTGTTTTCTCTGTACAGATGAAGTCTAAACTCCTCAACACGCATACAGGAAAGCCTCTTTGAGATCTGGCGTCACCGTGGTCCCATTCCCTACCCAGTGTGCTTCCCAGCCAGGCCGAACTTCCTGCATTTCCCAAAATGTTGTCGTGCCCTTGTTAGGTTGTTTTCTCTGCCTGGAATGCTGCCCTAGCTGTACCTCCCCTAGTTTGGTAGATACTTGCTCATTTGTTAAGACCTGGCTCAAAAGCCACCTCTTCTATGAAGCTTTTCCTGATTACCACCTCCTCTCCAGAATTGATGACCCCTTCCTTTGGGCTGTCAGTATCCCATCTGTAATTATGTGCCAGTGCAGGTAGCATTTTATTACACGTACTTGCTAGGTCCATAAGCCACTTGATGAGGGCTGCACATGTATCTTACTTGTCCCCATTTGTACCCAAACTTAGTTTTGTGTTTGGCTGGAAATGGGGGATGTTAATTAAATGATCGAGTGCATGATTCTGGCCACCTGCTTAAAGCTTAATTTATTAGTGCTGACCTTAGAGATGTCTGTTGTTGCCTCTAAAGCTCTTTCCAATACTAACTTTTGGTGGGGGGTGTTGTTTTGGGCAGACAGTGTCAAGTTATAATGTATAGTCTAGACTGAGCATAAACACATGGATGTGTTGCTTAGTCCAAAGAGCTCTTTAGCAAATCCCAATGGACTGGATTCTTCATAGCACTGAGTAGGGAAATAATAAAGGGAGCAAATTGTTATTTTCCGGGTATATTTGGGAGGATGTGGCTTTGCCCGCAGTCTGTTATGGTTTTGTATATATGCTATGTTTAATTTTTAGGACTAGCCTTGACTTGCTTCTTATTCGGTGTAGGTTAAAGAAGTGTTCTCTTACTTGGGACACTTGAGATGAGAGTGAAGCTTTGAATTCAAGTTGCAACTTAATGGCACTTCAAAGACAGGAAGACTTATTGGCTGGGTGTGGTGGCTCATGCCTGTAGTCCTCGCGGTAGGCTGAGGTGGGCGGATCACCTCAGGTCGTGAGTCTGAGACCAGCCACCCAACATGGTAAAACCCCATCTCTACTAAAAATACAAAAATTAGCCAGGCATGGTGGCATGGGCCTGTAATCCTAGCTACTTGGAAGGCTAAGGCAGGAGAATCACTTGAACCTGGGAGGCAGAGGTTGCAGTGAGCTGAGATCATGCCACTGCACTCCAGCCTGGGTGACAGAGCGAAACTCTATCTCAAAAAAAAAAAAAAAGGGAGATTTATTTTTACAAATTTTTATTTTTGTTGCATACTCAGTAGCTAATATCGTCTGCTAGTTGGCTTGTATTAAACACTAGCTATAATGAGCTACCACTGGAGTGACACCTCAGGACTCGGGAAGCATGGCATAAAGTTGGCCCTGGTACTTGATATGTTAGGCATGACAGTCTGCTTCGTGTATGATTACTCTTGCTAGCCGTGTCTCAAGTTCATTCATACAGAAGGCACGCTTGGGATGTCTTTTTCCATCCAAGTACTAACCAGGCTTGACCCTGCTTAGCTTCTGCGATCAGACAAGATCCAGCGCGTTCAGGGTGGTATGACCGTAGACTGCTGGCGATGTCTTTCAGAGCTTTGGAATTCAATAAATGGAGAGTGGAATGCCGGCTCTTTGGTAGCTATGTGATTTTCTCATCTCTAAAATGATTTTAATACATAGCTCACAAAGTTGTTGAGAAGAAATGAGGTAATATATGTAATATCTGACATTTAGCAAACATTCAACAAGTAACAGATGATATCATCATCATTAGAATTATTCTTTGAAGATTATGAAAGAAGATGAAATGCTCTGCATTTTAACATAACCTACCTAAGCCTGTAAGATCTGGTTTTTCTTTAAATTTCCTGAGCCTTGTTTGTTTCCATGGGAAGGTTGTCAGGTGGGCAAGGTAGCATCTCTCAAGGAGAAGGCTTACCTAACCTAGTGGTATGATACAATTCTGTAGTCACACCCTGGGTCTATCATTCCCTGGTGGGGTGGCCTTGGATAAGTAACTCTCTGGGCTTTGGTGTGGTAATTGTTCCTACTTTATAGGTTGGTTATTGATGGATTAAGTGAGAATAATGCACAAAAGGCCCTTCAGCACAGTGCCTGCCACAGAATAAGAGCTTTTCAAATGTTAGCTACTATTGCCACAGAAGTCCTAGGGAGGCGACTCAGTGTGCCTAGTGCAGTTCTGTTCTGAACAGCTCGTGTGTATGTTTGCCTTTCAGTACCATCTTCCTCATGGGACCACTGAAACAGCTGAAGCGAATGTTTGAGCCTACACGTTTGATTGCAACTATCATGGTGCTGGTAAGGTCTGCTTTTTAGCTGGACTTCTCAAATGGGAGTTTTTATTTCTGTTGTATAGGATTTTTTCCTTGTAACCTAAAGACCTCTTCTCTTTTTCCTTTCAGCTTGACTCACTACCTTATTCCTATGTGGCAGAAGGGAACACTCGACTTTACCTAATACCACGATCCCCTCCTCCCCTAGTTTGTGTTTCAGTGGGTGTCAAGGTGCTGCCAGTTCTGAAAAGCACCTCTAGAGGGCATTGCTTGTCAGACTAGCCAGAGTGGTATGGTGGTAGGAAGGGAGCTTCCACACCTTCCTGGTGACTGTCGAAGCCACACACAGGCCAGGGCTTAGAGGGAATAACTCAGAAACACAGGATTCATTCTCTAGGGTGGGTGTCCAGTCTTATAGGATAGGCTCTTTATTCCTCATTATCTGACTAGGGGACTTATTACTGTTTTTCATCCGTCTCCCCAAAGTGGGAGTGGCCTCCTTATAGCCTGTCATCCTTGTGCCCTGCTCTGACAACAGTGTCTTCAGGTTTGTTATATCATCCTGTCCCACTGACCGCAAATGCCTCGCATTTTTGGCCCATTCTCTTGCCTGCGGTTGTCAAAATCATTCCAGACCTGCATTCTCTGGTCCAGAATATAACCACTCCAGAATATAACTCTGCAGTGTAACTATTGCAACATTTGGAACTTGATGAACATATTTTTATTTTTAGTTTCACATATATAATCTCATTTGTTCCAATAGGTAAGTTCTCGAAAGCTGTGACATTTGCTATTTATTTTGTGTTCTTTCACAGTGTTGGGCACAATGCTGGAATGTTTAGGACATATTTGAGTAGTTACTGTTGGAGGATGGAGAGGAAAGGTGTGGCCGACTGCTCTAGCACCAGTGGTCCTTGGCCAACCCCAGATGTCCGAGATCTGGACAAGTCTCCTGTAGAAAGAGCTTTCTAAGAATGGCCTTAGGGAAAGTGTTAGGTGACATGTAAACAAATAACTGGCATGCTCGCTGTGAGATTGATATCTCATGTTAACCTTTGGCCTCGCCTGTGCTTTCTGCTGTAGCATTTGGCAGGAGTTAAAGTAGAGAGATTTGTGTTAAGCTTACTTTGGTGCATTTGAACGAAAAGATGGATAGATGGATGGGTGGGCCTGAAATGTGATTTGTTTGCTGGGCAGAGGTTCTGGGAAAACTTGAAAGTAAAAGAACATCTTTCTCTTTTTAATCTATGTGAATCTTGATTGGCTAGTTTGATTTCATGGAGATTTTTAACTATTCTGCCAAACATGGATGCTGAGGTGGGTTCACTGCTTTGAGATGAAGGATGCATTTGGGATGCTGTGAGAATCACAGACTCTGATTACCGCAGCCTAAGAAGTATTGTACCTTTGTCAAGAATAACAAGTTTTGAGGATTTTTTTTCTGCCATGTTATCATTGTCATTAATTAATGTTTTCTTTCTCCTAGTTGTGTTTTGCACTTACCCTGTGTTCTGCCTTTTGGGTAAGTGCATATTTTAATTTTTCTTAATCCTTTTGGCTTTTGCCTCTTGTCTCACACTCTCCTGTAACCATATCATTATTTTTCAGTGGCATAACAAGGGGCTTGCGCTTATCTTCTGCATTTTGCAGTCTTTGGCATTGACATGGTAAGTAACCTTTTAAACAATCCTCCCCCACATAACCCACTGACTGATGTAGCCGAAGGAGATAAAACTCCCATGTTGCGAGTGCGAGAATGAAGAAGATACAAAAGCTCTTTAATTTGAGGATTCTCAGTGACGAAAGTGAAGTCGGGCTCCAGAGCAAATGCCCATCGCCCCAGCCCACTGCCAATAGATGGCATTAGTGGTCCTGAGTGGCCACAGGAGGCTGCTTGTTTGCCTGCTGTGGCATTCTCGCTGAACTAATGGTTGATTTTTTAAGATGTTACAAATATTATTAAAGCACTTATATCCAGTAAGTGCAAGGACAATAAAAGTATTGTAAGTGATGGTAAAAAGGCTTGTGAGTCACATAAAGGTTAACAAAAAAGGAAAGTGGTAAGAAAAATAATGAGTGTTACATATGTGATAGGATGAGTCATTTAACAGAAGGACAAAGAGTGATTTATTAGCAGGAGATGAGGAACAGTCACTGACGAAGTGGAAAAACTTGTATCTGTGGGCTGAAGGATCAGCATATGTGCTTAGAGGCCTGTTGGCTTTTGGTAATTCAGCTGAAGAGTAGGAAATTGTAACTGTAGAGCCAAGACTAGTAAAAGGGCTGCTGGAGACATTTTGTGAAGCCATTAATGGGGCTTTAGGTTCATGGTCCTTAAGAGCCTGTACAACATCAGAGTGAGGGGGTGGTGACACAGGTGGAATCTGTAGGCTGCAAGACATTCCTGTGGTTTTTTCAAAGACATTCCTGTGGTTGTTTTTTTTTTTTTTTTCTAAGGAGAAAAAAAATTTAAAAGAATATATTTGATATAGATGTATTTTCCTTTTTTTTGAAAAAAAAAAAAAAAAAAAAAAAAAGGTTTGCTATAATGCAAAGAAAAGAGGATTGTAAACATTTTAAAGTTCCCAAGAATTAGTTAACTCCTGTTTGGTGGAAATGAATCTTGAAACTGTAATCTTAACTCCCATCCCTCCCTCTAGCAATTTTGGACTTTTGAATAAATATAGTTTCAAATTGCCTTTTGGAGTCTGTACATGGTAAGTGTAAGATTTGGAGAAGGAAGGTAGTGTGATTTTTTTTTTCTAATGGCTTGCACATTTGATTGGTAGACTGTTTATATTTTGATTTTCTTCTAGGGCAGAAATTGGTACCCATATACACACACCTTGCTTTGCTTATAGACTGATTTTGTAGCCAGTTTCAAAGGTTCAGCATTCATTTGGGCTCAGATGAATGGTGATATTCCCTTTAACACCAACACATTCTGACTGTGTGTGCTTTTCTAAGGGCTGACCAACTTACAGTCTGTCTGACACACAGTCAGTGGTTCTTTAGAGTTATGGAGCCTCTTCCTTGTACTGTTCGCTTCTAAGTGACAGGGCTGACCTAACTGGGATTTACCAAGATACCTTTAGATGTACTGTGTTTTTACCCATTTCTTTGTTTTCTTCTTTCCGGTTCTCTTTTTTCTTCTTTTAAAATTAACAGGAGCAAGCAGAAAATTTATCCCAATTGGGAAGAAGCTAAATTCTGTTTAGAATTTGTAAAATGTTAGGAGTTCAACTGTGCCAAGTGTGGGTGGCTCACACTGTAATTCCCAGCACTTTGGGGGGCTGAGGTGGGAGGATTGCTTGAAGCCAGGAGTTTGAGACTAGCCTGGGCAACATAGCAAGACCTGGTCTCTGCAAAAAAAAAAAAAAATAAAAAAAATAAATAAATAAAAATTAGCCACCCATGGTGGCACATACTTGTAGTCCAGCAACTCTGGAGGCTGA